ACTGAGATTTATTAAGAACTTAGTAAAAGTGAAAAAAAAACCAAAATATCTGTCTTCATAGATTATCCTCTAGGATGTTTGCGCACATCTTGTATTGTCAGTCTTATATGATTCTAATAAGAAAGGTAAAAGATGACTAATTAAATGGTAGAGGTGAGATCTAAGCATTTGTTCATTCTTATGAGAAGGACTTTGGCTAAAGGACTCTAAGACCAGGGCCAGAAATAAGACAAGATCAAAGGAATTGTAGAAATGCAGTTCAATAGTAGTTTCTTGAGTCTTCTAAACCACCAGTATTGAGCCAATGTAAGAGCTGAAATTGATCATTCCAACTCTGTAGAGCACAGCCCCCATGCTTTGTTGAACACCTCACATCACACTATCTGGCCCACACCACATATCTGCCTCCTGTCTATCTACTGTCTGCCTTAGGTTCATGCTCAATGGACAGCTAAATACTCCACAAATCTTAGAGTCTTTGTGATGTAGTATACCTGGGACCAAAATGCGCTTTCCCATCGCTCTACCTGGGGACTCCCTATCTGACCCAAACCATTAGCCTCTAAACTACCTTCTCCATGTAAGCCCTCGTTAACTCCTGCTCACCTCCTGCAAGCCAAAGTTACCACTCCTCACTTTGGACCATGTATCTGGTGTTCACCATGGTACACCTAGGTGAACTAAGTTCACATCCTTCTTTTCCACAGTACTGTGCACTTCTAGAAGAAGGCTAGTCTAATTCCTTTTATACCCCCAGCTCCTAGCACAGTGTTGGCATATAATAAGAAATAGATCAACATTTCTTGAAGAATGCAAAAGAGAGATTCTAGCTGACAGGCTAGTGGGATAGTCCAGTCTTCCTAAATTCAGAAGGTGGAACTATGGGTGAAATGGAAAATGATTAATATATAATAGATTCAATTAGCTGAGTTATGAAATATAGAAATGAGAGATAATAAGAACTGGAAGATTATTACAGCCACAATTCCTAGCTAAAAGGACAGAGAAACTCTAGAGGCTATAATAAACATGAGAAGAACAGAAGAAAAAGAACATGAATTCTGCTTCAGGCTTCTGGACCCGATAGGCAGATGATCACCATTAACAGATGGTTAGCAGACAGTAGTGTATTCAAAGCCTAAGCTTTCCGAAAGGCTATAGACGTTAAGGGCATGCAGTGGTAAATACAGAGTGGAGGCTATCGAAGAGATACTGAAGAGAAGCATGACAATTACTAGACCAGGTACTACCTCTATGTAAAAAACAAAGGGCTGGGAAGAAGGAAGCAAAAGGATCGGAGAAGCAAGCAGATGGCGTGCTCCAAGAACATGAGATGTCACAGAATCCCAGAAGGAGGACCAAAGTTGTATAAGGTTGAGTCCAAACTGAAGAAGTGCCGTGGAGCCCTCATCATGGTGACCCCCACAAACGCAGCTTCACTAGATGATGGAATAGAATGCAGAAGAGCCACAGAGGAGGGTGAAGACGGTGAGTGGGGATGGTGCTCCCTCAAGTGGCCGTTGTAACAGGCATGGGCAGAGTTGCTGTAAGTTCTGTAACTTGTCACCACCGCCATCTTATAACTGAGAGTGATTGGTGTAGTTCAGCTGCATTTGAAGTTTCTGCTGCTCAGAGCCACTAACTTTTGCTTCTTTAAGAAGTTAATAATGTAATATATGGGGTTGGAGATAGAGCTTAATGGCAGGTCACTTGCTAATGTGCCCCATGTCCTGAGATCATTGCTGGCAACACACACACACACACACACACACACACACACACACACACACACACACACACACACAGGGCCTAATATAGTCTTGAGATTGGGCTGGGGAAATAGTTTGAGAGTTCATCTTTACTCTCTTTTAAAGTATGTCACAGTTCTTATGAATCATCTGTTCTGTGTTTTGTTTTGCTTTTTTTCCTAAAAAGATAAACCAAGAAGATCTTAAAAGATCCCTTCCAAAGAGACACAGACTATCACTAAAGCTAATAAAAATTGTATATGCCTGCTGCTCCGGGCCGCGGTCAGGGTCTGACTGTGACCCTTCATACTTGAAGTCATTATTTCCCATGTGGTTTTCTCCTCCTGTCAACAAAGATCATGGGCGTTGTTTAGTGCAGCAAAGGGAGAACTGACATGTCTCCACCCTTGCAGTGAAGTACATTTTATTGTGTCATCCACTATTTATGACCAAGGAGATCTATGGATTTTAGGTCATGACGGTGAAGGCTCATGGCTCTTTTTAGCTGGTGACATTTCCATCTTAGTGGATTTATTCCATTAAATTTACCACTGAAGACTTGTGTGTTTTGATTTCGCAATAGTCGATCATGTCATTTTAAATATAGCCTCTGAAGCAGTTTGGGGAAGATAATTAAAATCCAATTAAATGCGGGGCTTTAGTGGAGATCAAATATATTAACTAAATAAAATATCCGGGGTCATTTCACTCTGCTAGTGACTTCCTGGGAATTACAGTTGATGAATTTCTGCAAATGGAGTGAGTCCTTCCCCAGGGAAGCCATAGGAAACTCAGGGAAAACCTTAGAGGAGCCGAGGGAACTGGGGACAGACTTGGCTCCCAGTAATCACACACAAGGCAACTCCTGCTGAAAAACAAAGGTAGTTTATGTGAAACCTCTTCAGATAGGTTAGCTGCGTGTTTTTTATATTCTATGTATATGTTAGTATCTTCCTGCTAAAACTTAAGCTGCTGGAGGAAGGGATCTTTGCTTTGATTCTACCATGTCCCAAGCACCCACAACAGTATCTGGCACACTAACTGACTCACAATTGTTTGTTACACGAGTGAGTGATTTTTCTAAGAACTCTCATTTTCTGAAGTTTTGCATTTCCTACCCAGGAAACCTCTCTTTAGAACTTCCTCCTGTTCATGCCATTTTTTTCCTCTCCTCAGAACACCTCCCTCTGCCCCCACGCCATGCCTTTGTAATACATCTCCCTGACTTCCAGAGATAGTGGTTCATTTTCTGCTCCACTGCTTAGAGAAGCAGGTCTTCCATGCGCCCATCCTCCCCTCAGGAAGTGAGCAGCAGAGAATCTGGATATAGTCCTCTTGGTCTTAGTTTTTTATTGCTCATCCAATTTTGTACATTGTCTCAGGATTTACTCAAACTTTGTGGATAATGTCCATCTGATCTCCCTCTTGACAACACAGTTACCATGGCTACAGTCTTGTTCTGAAAGAGGTAAGAAGTGAAGCCATACATTTAATATCCCATGACTTGTCCCCAAAACATTGCCTGGTAGATTCCTAATGGCCCCAGAGTAGCACAACAGACATGCCAGAGGAAAGGAACTTCACTTTTGTTGTACACAGAAAGACCCCTGTTGGTGGCTATAGAGATGACTACCTGGATCTCCTTTGAAGAGACCCTGCGTGGGGACAGGGTTGGGTCCAGTTCTTTCAAGTCTATTGTGCTTCTTCTGAGCTTCTTGCAGGCAAGGATGGAGCATACAGAGATCTTAGAGCTTCCTTATCCCACTCAAAGTGGAACCCCTAACACTTCTGGATCTCCCGGTTCAACTTGTCCCTCCTGTTTCTGCCTCCTTTATGCCTCGTGGGGCTCTCCCCATAAATCTCTTCCATATAAAATCCCATCTTGCCATTAGCTTTGTGGAGAACCTGAAGGGACACCTCGAAAGTTGGCTACCTTACAAAATCATCAATGAGAGGCACTAAAGGAACATACTGTGGATGAAGGTGTCACTTTCTAAAAGCCTAATTGCAAACACTGCGCCTCCAAATGCAGTCAAATGCAGGTTCTAGTCACATAATGGGTCAGTGGAGGAGACTCATATGTTCACAGGGACAGGTCGTCTTAAACCCTTTGTCTAAGTGTGTACTATATTGAATCTGTGAATTTCTACAAGGATCCTAGCCTTTCATTTCATTGCCTTCATCTGCTAAATTATCAACAGTGGTGGCTAATATGTCAATTAACATGTTAGATCTCAAATGACAGTAATATGAATCTGCATAAAATAACACATTTTACACAATAATAATTATGGCTTCGTTTTCCATCCCAAACTCAGTAAGCACTTGTCACCTTTGAAGTTCTGCAAAAGAAGCCTGTGGTGTAAAGATAATGAGTTATCTTCATCTAGTGGTGGGCATCAAGAGAAGCTATACCCCAACAGAAGGACTCACTAATATGAGCAAATTAAGTAACCAAGAAATCAGTAGGTAAAACTTTCAGACTAGGTACTAACTCTTGGTAGAAGATGCTTCCCTTTTCAACCTAGACAGTGCTCTGAGCTAACCCCTGGGGATTTGGCCAGAAGGCACCTCCAGCAGCTGTTCTCAAGGAGAAGGCTTATGTCAGCACCATTTATATCAAGTACACCCGGAACATTGTGTCAGCAGCATAACTGCGGGCATGTCAGCATCTCTATTTTACACCCCCTAAAATGTGTACACTTTAATTAGACTAAAGCCCGGGAATGGTTTGTTGAGAGCTTAACATGGAAGTAATGACTTCCTAAGGGAGTCATCCCTCCCCACCCTGGGGAATCATCTAATATTTGTCTTTGAAAAGCCAATCCCTCATGGTGTGCTCCCTCTAGGAGGCTACTCTCAAAAAGCAATAACTTTACCCCCTGAATCTAGTGGAATATTTATGGTGAACTGGGATCAATAATTTGTCTGGACACCTACAGACTTCTGTATTCTGCTAGTACCCACTTCAGCCACGTGCTCTATGTTCTTCCTCAAGCAGGTTGTCTTGTGTCCCTGCTCCATTTAAACGGGGGAGAGAACGTTTCCACAGAGAGAGCTAGTTGAATGACAAACTGCCTACAATCCAGGGGAGGCTTGAGGAGGCCTCTGAGGGAACAGCAAGTTTCTCTGAAGACAGAGATCAGTGAGCCCCCAAAAGCTTAAGAACATTTTCAGAACTCTCTCCTTTCCCCCGCAAAGTGTTGAGTCTGTTTGGACCATTCTTTGGTTAAAAAAAAAAAATCTTCCTTGCCAAGCTTCGGCAGTGCATATACTAAAATTGAAACGATACAGAGAAGATTAGGACAGCCCTGCGCAAGGATGATACACGAATTGGTGAAGCGTTCCATGTTTTTAAACAGCCGAAACTGTTGTATCTTTGTATTTATTACTTGATGTAATCAAGCTTATTTTCATTAACAAAAAAAAAAAATCTACCTTTATCATCTCTCTCGGTGCCTCATTAGGCTGAACGATGGTTTAAAGAGAGAACAGCCCAAGTTAATTTTTGAAAACCTCAAAAGATTCAGTTGTGTAGGGACAACAATGTGTATGTGAGAGAATTATATCCAGTTAGGTTTGGAAGATAAAGAATCATTTGAAGCCCTTCCTGTCGGGAGCAGGATGCTAGGAAGAAACATCAGAGGAGAGTTAAAACTGAACTAAGACTTTTGAAGGAGAAATCAGGGATTTCTTTATGATGATGATGGCGACCAGATACTAACTTCTAACCAAACAGAACTGGTGCCTCCACAGAAGTTCCTCTCTGACCAGTAACTGAGTTCCTTACATCTCAGTGTCTCCTGGAACCTCCTTTTGCTGAAAGGAGCATACTTTATATCAGGAAACAAAATGCATGTTCTGGAATGCACACATAGATGTGCATGTATATACACAATACACACAGCCGGGGGAAGGGAGGGAGAGAAGAGAGACTTTTAGAGCTTACTTTTTCTTCTTTTCTTTTATTATCTCTTCATACAGGGTTTTAATGTGTATCCCAAACTGGCCCTGTGGGGGTTTCTTCTTTCTTTGTAGTCTGTTGACTGCCAGACCACAAGGGCAGAAAAGGCAGAAGTGATAAGCAGGGCCTCGTCCTGCCTGTGGTATGATGGAAATAGCCTTCCAGGACTCTGCTTTAGAGTTGCAGTTCAACTTTACTCAAGGGTGAGGGCAGTGTCTGGGGCACAACCTAATCTGCATTAAACAGCATACACCTATCATAAGATTCCTAGTACAAGTCTTAGTTATCATATGTGGAAACACCGGCCTGTCATAAAGTCTAATTACATATGGGCAGCAGGGGGCAAGCTTCCACAGGGAACTGTGTCAAGGGTCATACTTGAGATAAGTCAGGCATCTGGACCTAGAGACATTCTCCAAATAAGGTCAGAGAGAGAGCAGGGAGCCTCCGCTGCTGGGAAGGAGTCCTTCTATGTTGCACCAAGCTCGGAGAGAGTTGCCAGGCCACTGTAGACTGCAACCTCTGACCAGTGGGGCCTCCCAACAGCCCAGACCTTGATATTCACCTGCCTCAGCTTACTTGGTGCTAGGATTACAGGTTTGCATCATTATGCCTCCTTGAAGTACTCTTGCTTGTTGCAGTAATTTTATGGGGAAAATGTAGAAAATGGTTACTACAATGATTTTTGCCAAGTCAGAGTTCTCAACTGTTCATTGCAAAGTCTTCACACCAGGGTCTTGACAGAGACCCAAAAAGAATAATGCTATGTTTAGTGTCGGACCAATATTCCCAATCAATAGCTCTCATAATCCCACTAGCTCTTACAAAAAAAAATAAATAAATAAAAGTTTTTTTCTTTAGTGCTACCAGTATCTTTTCTATGTTTTAAACATACAGTTTCAGAGACATCTTTCTGGAACAGCCAGGGTTCTGGATAGGAGACCTGGGCAGGATATATTTGGTGTCGTGTGTTACTTTGTTAACACAGAAAAATAAATTTTACTTGAACTGCATCTTTTTGAAGGCTCACAAATTGCTTTACAGCTGTCACCACAGAACCACTCTTCAATCACGTTGAAGAATTATAAAGGACACACACACACAAAAAAATATCTGAAGATGAAATAAGGGAAATGCTTCTCCTTCCTAATAAAAAGGAAAAAGGAGTATCACAGGAAATTGCAGACTGCTGGTTGACGATGAGCTCCAGAGCCAAGGATCAAACAAGCCATTTCAGTGCCCAATGAGCAACAGGGAGCCTTCCTTTTCAGAGAGCATCGTATTAATGAGGATGATGAAGAGACTTGTTACATTTTGAGCCAATTTTTAACACCAATAGGGTTCTAAGTCTATTGCACTGAATAAGTATCGTGATGCTATAGACCTGGCTCTAGCCTTATTTTTTTTCCAGAAACTCCCCATGCAATTCTGAGTAATCATACTTTCATTTGTTGGATTCTCAGACTTTTACTTGTCAATGTTCCTTGAAATCTGAGCTCAAAACTGGGGTTCAAATTCCCAAAGATATTTGTACCTAGAGTCAACGCCACTTAAGAGTAGCAGTTTGCCTCATGGGGGTGTCCACCTGTTGTGATTTGTGTTTTGACGAAGGCTGTTGAAATGGAAATGTTCATATCTGGGTTATAAAATCCTATTTTCTTCTTCCTTGTCCATAACTGATTACTATAGAGCTAGATAATTCATTCAAACTTAGTTGACCAAATTCTCTCCAGGACATTGAACGAAAAGATGGAAGGCTCTTTTCCAGGTTTTGTGGCTTGAGCAGCCATGGACAGCAAAGCCTCTCACAATACCCTTTACTAGACAAGTGCTGGAAGTCCTGCACAGGAACCAGAGCAAGTGCCACAAGTTTCTGGAAATGGTGGCATTGCAGGTCAGCCTGAAGAGCTATGACCCACAGAAGGACAAACACTTCTGGAGCACCATCAGGTTTAAGTACACTTCTCACTCCAAGTTCTCTGTGTCCTGGGGACCACCAGCACTGTGATGAAGCCAAGGCTGTGGAGATCCCCTGCATGGACATTGAAGTGCTGAAGAAAGCTTACAAAGAACAAGAAGTTGGTCCAAAAGCTGACCAAGAAGTATGCTGCCTCTGAGTCTCTAATCAAGCAAATCCCATGTATTCTGGACCCAGACCTGAGCAAGGCTGGCAAGTTCTCTTCCCTGTTGACATGCAATGAAAACATGGTGACCAAAGTCAATGAGGTGAAGTCCATGATCAAGGTCCAGATGAAGAAGGTGCTGTGTCTGGCCATTGCTGTTGGGCACATGAAGAGGACTGATGATAATCTGGCTGCCAATTTCTTGGTGTCCTTGCTTAAGAAGAACTAGCACCATGGGAAAGCCCCAGCATCTGTACTAGGATGCCCCAATAAACCTTAGTGCTATCATCCCCTTGGTCTGCTTGTGATTGGGGGTAGGGTGTTTGTGAGCTCAATTACAGCCTTGGTAAAGAAAAAGAGAAAGAAAGGAAGGAAGGAAGGAAGGAAGGAAGGAAGGAAGGAAGGAAGGAAGGAAGGAAAGGAAAAAGAAAACAAGAAAGAAAGAGAAAGAAAGGAACCTAAAGATGGGGTATTGTCAATCTAGAGACACCAAAAGAGATTTTTACATTGTTAAAGAATAAAATGGAAGGAATGAGTGAATAGTGCTCTTAACACCTCCCTTGTCCATGATAGATGCCTCTCCTTGCAGTGCCTGGGACTACCAAGAGCCCTGGATAGGGACCTGTTTAAAATTTCTTCTCTTTGAGATACTCTATAACCTTACACTACTACCTAAAGTCAATCAGATGCCTCAAAAACCTTTAAGTCCCAGTGTAGCTAGAGTTTTCCTGCCTGGCCCACAGTCAGGACAAATCTCTCTCACCTGTCAGTCCCACAGCCACTCAGACCCAACCAAGTAAACACAGAGACTTATATTGGTTACAAACTGTATGGCCATGTCAGGCTTCTTGCTAACTGTTCTTACAGCTTAAATCAATCCATTTCTATAAATCTATACCTTGCCACGTGGCTCGTGGCTTACGGGCATCTTCACATGCTGTTTGTCATCCTGGTGGCTGGCAGTGTCTCTGACTCAGCCTTCCACTTCCCAGCTTTATTTTCCTCCTTGTCCCGCCTATACTTCTTGCCTGGCCACTGGCCAATCAGTGATTTATTTATTGACCAATTAGCAACACACTTGACATACAGACCATCCCACAGCATCCCAGACTTATGGTGTTGTATTAGGGTCCCGTGACCAGACTCTGATTTCACAAAGTGATCAGATGAGGACGTTACTTTTGTTAATTGACATTATATTTCTTCTATGGGATTGTGTGAGATTGAACTGTCATAACAGTGTCCACACACTAATACAGGAACTCTACACACCCTATGGATCCTTGTTCAACAATGTTACTAGTGGTAATAAGGTAAGCTTGCATTGTGAAATGAAACTCTTTATATAACTAATATAAATATTATATAAATACTTGTATAAATATATATAACATAATAATATATAATACGGACATCTCATAAACATCTGTTATAAATTTAAATGTATTAAGTTCACATTTGATAAATTATTTACTAGAGGTCACAGTAAAGAATACTTCCTTTAGGATTGTAGGAGCCAGAAGGGTCAAGGGCACCACAAGAACACCGCCCACAGAATCAACTAAGCAGGGCTCATAGGGGCTCACAGGGACTGAAGCGACAATCACGGAGCCTGCGCTAGGTCCTCTACATATACCTTATGGTCCTTTATGTCCGATCTTGATATGAGCATTTGTGCCTAGTCTTATCGTAGCTTGCTATGCCATGTTCAGTTGGTATCCCTGGGGGGCCTGCTCTTTTTTTCTGAAGGGAAACAGAGAAGAAGTGGATCTGGGGAAGAGGGAAGATGGGGAGAAGGGACTGGAAGGAGAGGAGGGGGGAGAAAATACAGTGAGGATTTAATATATGAGAGAACAACAACAAAAGAATACTTTCTTCAATAAACTGCTACATATACCTAAAAACAGATGAATTAACACCAAAACCAGTATTGGAGAATGGAAGCACTAATATACAATTTCTCATTCAACATTAACATTGCATTACTTCAATGAGAGTGATAACTTCAAACTTGTAGGACTAAAGAAAAACACATCTATAACAAAAATGTTTCTCTGTGATTCCATTTATGCCATTTGGGGATCCAAACACAAGACAGCAGAGTAGATGCAGAACTGGGCTGAATCAGAAAACTCTCAGCTTGAAGCAGACAAGTCATGCTGAGGACAGGTGTACAGCTGCATCTCTTAAGCCCAGCCAAGCACGTTGTCATGTTAGGCCCGCCTCGGCTGCCTGAGTCTAAATCTTAATGCTACATCTCCAAGAGTGA